TGTTTACAATTTTCTGTGTAGAATCTTATGTAAGGAATTGGAACTGTAAACGGTCAATATAAGTTATAATTAGTACATATGGCATTTTTATTATTAGGATTATATTGAAATCTTCCAGAAATAAATCATTATAATTTCATTGTATAATAGTAAGAACAATGTAAATTTCATAAACAGTTTTTAAAAATTATTTGAAGTCTCCTAAACTGAATATTTTATGAAAGAATGGAAAATAAGTACAATACGTGTAGATGACTTCGATTCTAGATTGACTTGATTGAAATTAGCTTAGAGATTTTTCACTTGTATCTCATGCAATTAAAATCCTTAATCATTTTAATTCTTCTAAATCTAGATCTAAAAAAGTCTAGAATAAAATATTAGTCTCGATGGATAGGAAATTCGCTATTTGTTTCTTAAGATAAAGATAACGAAAACCTTTCCAAGTATCTTACGTTTAAGATAAAGTTTCAATCTGTGCATATGAAACCAGATAGAATAAAATATAGTGAAAGCTTCACGTGAGGAAATTCTATGTTCTATTTATAAAAAAAATATCTTGCAGTTGGTTAGCAAATTGTTCTTTCAGGTCAGTTGAGATTCCATTTACCGTGAATTGTCACGATAAGATACTTTTTAAACTTTATTATTTTTTTTGTAAGTTATTTNTTCGATTTTGTATTTTTTTAAAGCAATAGAAAATTTTAATATAATGCTTAATTATATGAAATAAGCACTTAAAAGTTTTATTAAAAATACAAAATTCAGGATGAAACTTTAAAATTCTTCTTAATTTCATTTATTATATAAAACTAATGATTTTCTTTATCGCCATTTTAAGAAACTATTGAGTTTTTTTCTATATAAACACGTAATTTCGTATGTGAAAAAGCTAAGCATACTATAAAAATATTAATCGTTAAACTTAAATTCTTTCTTTTAACTTTGAGTTATTTTGATAAAATAAAATTTTATTCATAATTCTATTATTGTAACGAATCATATTATAAATAAAATTATCCAATATTATAAATAAATTATATTCAGATACATCTCAGTTTCGTATGTTAAAGAAAGGATGCGAATTATATTCCATTAAATCTTTAAATGAAATGGTATATAAAAACCAACTTTTAAAATATATATATAATATTAAATTAATTAAAAATAAACAAAATTTTTTAATATGTATTTATATCAGGCTAAAATGAAAAATTAAAATTTGAGTTAAAATTTTTTGATTCAAATCCCTTTTATAAATCAGGTTTGTAATCGTATAAAAATTAAAGCATTCCCTTTGGGAGTAGAAAGATGAGAAAGGAGGGGAACTGTGCCCCAGTGCGATCATGGGGTCACGTTTGCTTTCGAGAGACTTATAATTTAGAATTTCAGACAGTTAAGTGCCACTGAGGTGCCGCACGCGTCGGCAAGTGTCATACGACTTCAGAAAACGTACCCAGTTGCGACTGCTAGCAACGGGTGCAGCAGGAAAAGGTACCCAAAGAGTTGAAGCAGAATATGAGTTTAATTATTCAGAAGGGGAGGATTGTAAACACTATTAATATAGGTAATACATCATCATAAATGAATCTATATCAATTGAAATTTTATTGAAGAAGTATTCTAATGATTGTAATGTTTAAACTTCTTCATTTGTATATTATTAGTATTGATATTTGTTAGAGTTACAAATATCAATACGGTTATCGAACTAATGATAGTTTTAGCTTGTTTTAGTCATATAGGCTTACCTGTTTCTATGCTTAGATTTATTATTCAAAGTAAAATTCAAGATTGCAAGATGATTCCTCACGATATATCAATAGTTTCGTAACTTGGTTTCGTGTGTCTTCGGGTTCCTTAAACAGAATAAGGATAGAAATACTGCATACTTTTAATATTTAAGCGTTCATATTATTAATAGAATATTTATTTTTTTATAGCTAAAATAAGCATTGAAGTATTGAAACATAGGTTTGTGAATCTGCATAAAGTACTGTAGTTTAGGCATAATTTCGATAATGATATTTATTATTAGCTACTCAAATAAAACAATAATAATATTTTCTTGTTACAATCATTATTTTGGTTTTAATATTGTCTATTTATAATATTATAATGTAATATTTCAACTGAACTTTAAAGTAAGTAATAAAATAATTAATGATTCGTTGTTATATGAAAAATAGCTTTATAATGAAATATTTCTATATGTAAAAAGTTTTAATATCTCGTATTATTATACAAGGTATTAAAACTTATAAATTCGAAAAAAATTGTCATAATATTTTATATAAAGATTTATTGTTATTAAATCATTTTTATGTAATTATTATAAATTATTTTTATTTTATTTAATAATGATTAATTAATTAATCAATTTGAAATTAAGTTTGATATTGTGATCTAGGAATCTTTGATACTCTATGATCTATAATTGTAAGAATCTATTATAAACATGAATTGAATAAATGTTTATAAGACTTCACAAATGCACGAATAAGTTGAAAGAAGTAAAATTTTCTTGAAAAATTTTAAGTAATGTAATCAATATTTTTTGAAGACTCCATTCAATTAGCTTGCAACACTAAAGGAAAACAGAAAAACATTCAAGGGACCGATATGGATAATATGTATAATATATACATTTTCTTTTTCAGCCCCCATCCAGCGATTGTCCCAGCGGGAGGCCAGAGACCATCAGTGCTGGTGACGCCAAAACCCATGTATCCACCCAACCCCGTCCCGGAAACCGAACAGACGGAACCAGTCGATTTCTCGACGGGTCACGTGACACCCCGACCGGAAGTGTCTGATCCCGTAATAGCCGGTGCTGCCACCACCACGGCAGTCATCCACCATCCCGGATCTCCTCCCGCTGTCAGCAGGACTCCGATGGAACCAGCTCCTATGTCTCCACCGACAACGCTTCCGATTGCCGTGTCGCCTCACTGCTCACCTTCTCCTCAACCTCCTCACTCACCCTACCAACAGCTGCACTCCATCCAACCTCCTCAATCTCCCTATCCTCAGATCCAGAGTCCGGTAGTGGGAGGAGAAGCTGTCAGGTCACTATCTCATGTCACCGTAGGAGATTATGGAGCATCCGAGAAAGAAAAGTGAGTCTCGTTTAATTTCCTATTCATTACTTAATAAAATTTCTTGTATTTTTAAAGAAAAACATCAATCAAACACTCTTCTGATAAAGATAGAATAGTGTATGTCAATACAAATATCCTTTCCAGATCATAGTAATGATCATTCATAAAATATTTCCATTCCTAATGCTGATCTTTCCTCAAAAGTATAGCTTTAATCACCAATATTTCTTTGAAGTTTAAAGTAAATAAATCGGAAATTAATTTGAGAGTTTACTTAAAACAATACTTCTTACATCTTTTTTAAATGAAAAATCATCCTTAACTTTACCAAAATGTTCATCTTTTTACAAATTACATTAACAAAAATGACTCGTTACACGAATCTTTTACATAATAATAATTAGATTTATTATAGATCATTCTAAACTTTTCAAAATTTATTTTTCACAATACTTAACATATTAATACAAAGTAGTATGAAGCAAAATTTTAAAATATTATGTGTTAAATTACAAAGAGAAAGGAGCAAGAAATATTATGCGTGAAACATATACGTGAAAAATATACAGAAGAAAATAAGAAATTAATATGAATATGGGTTATCAGCTGTAAATGTACTTATTGTATTTTTCTGTTGGAGTAATTCTGAACTTTTCTTAAAAGTTTTTAAATTA